TTTAATTGGAATTGGAAGCGAACCGCTCTCGTTAGAAAAAGTTAACCCATGTACGTACTTATGTATGTATGGGTGTAGTTTGTAGCACTGGCCTGATAAGACAGAGAAAGCAGAGACGCCGCTTATCAACACACGAGAAACGAACAAAAAATTCTGTGGAGCACAAATGGGTCGGCCACATTGTCGTGTTTTGTTGTTTTCTTTTTTTCCCCTCCCCCCCGTTTTTGCACTATCGCTTAATAATTGAAATTAAAAAAAAAAGCGGCGGGGAAAAAAACGCCTGAATTACAGTGAGTGGCGATACGCGCATTCATACTACTAATACTACTACTGTTTTTAGTGGGTGAGGGTCCAGTGTTTCACATTGATTTCTGTATTTGTGACTAGATCCACACTCATTAATAACGGTAGTTCAATCAGCAAGGCCCACGTGCTCCCCAAGCTATCTAGACGGTATCTAGGAAACAAAGTGTTTTTACCTTAAAATTCCCTTCCCATTATTAAGGGCCCAAAAAAAAAACAGGTGGCATAGTGGTTGACTCGAAAAAAAAGTAAAGAAACAAGGTAATTAGTCAACGTCTCTCACGCACACAACGTCACTCAGACAGAACGCAGCTCCAAAGAGCACCTGTTCGAGTGCCCAAAAACCGAAAGAGACAGAAACAGAGAAAGAGGGATAATGGAAGAGTGACAGCGGAAGATCGACTCGAGTTGTGAGATGGCAGCCCACGAAATTAAAATTAATGCTAATGTAGATCATTTTTTTGGGCTTTTTTTTATTCAACAAATTCTAAATTAATTGCTAGTTGAGCAGGAAAATATAGGGAAATTGTTAGAATAACAAAAGAAAAAAAGAAAAGAAAAAGGTTAAAAGTTCATCCGGAATGGGCTGAGTCAGAGGCGAGGCTTTGTACAGTTGCGGTTAAAATAGTAGTATGATTGTACGACGATTCATTAAATATTTATGAATAAATGAGTAAATAAATAATATTAGATTCTACAATAATAATTCTCAAATAGGGATTTCTTTAGTTCCTCCTCCATAACCTATATATTATTGCCAAAACTCCTCAATTCTTGGAAGGTATCGTGGTGATAGTTTGGACTCGTGTTGATATACTCCCTCGCCTTGACAAACAAACAATAATTACCGCCGAATCAAGCAGTTTCCAACTATATACGATATATATATATATGTATATATGATTTTTTTCGACTTTGTTCTTGGTTTTTATGTCTGGGATCAGCAGAAATTCAAACTGCAGCGACGCCACAATTCTTAAACAATTCTTCAAAGACGGTTCTTGATTCTTGTCGTCGGCGGCGGCTCTTCGTCTCTTCAGAAGAAGAAAAGGGGGAAGGGGGCTGGGGAATATTGTTGTATAAATCAGCAGAAAAAACAGCCATATAGCCATAGCTATAAAAAAATAATAAACCTTAATTCGATGCTGAGAGCTTGATTCATTCATAGTACACTTTGGAGAGAGGGAGGGGTCAGTGGGTAGAGTGGGTAGTGGGAGGGCTGGCTGACCACCCAATTGAGTTATATACAATATACAGAACCGAAGAACCGATCGAATGAACGATCGGAATTGTGGCCAGGCACGAGAGCAATGACATGGAAAAGGAGCTCCAAACCAAAACCAAACCCCAAGCCACAGAAAGTCGTGCACTGGCAATAATCATGGATTAGTGGCTTGGACTGGACTGGACGGGAAAAAAAGCTGGAAAGGATGCTCTTTTCTGACTCTATTTTGTCGGCGAACATGGATCTAGTGCACGGTGTTTCATGATTAAGTTCGTGACTAGATTTCATGCTCGTCTATTAAGTTGGGTCAGCACACCAAAGAGAGTCCACACAGTATCTTACTACTCCTCGACTTCCTGCACTGAGTGGCCAATTAGTAGACGCATTAATTATATGGGAAATGTATACATATTTTGCCTGATTGACCCGACCCGTGACCCACATAACGGCACACGCCCCGCAGCAATAACTCCCAATGAGGGTGTATCTCAATAAAAAAAAAAAAGTCACTGGCCTGGCCGACACGCCCCTTTCCCAGCCCAACCCGCATGCTGTGGAGCAGTAGCTTTGCTGATTTGTGCGCCTTTATCTGCCAAACGGAGTGACTGCGTCGAGAGTTGGACGCGAAAAACCGAAACCCGTGACAGCCAACGGCCCACCAATTTATGGGTTGGTGACACGCGATTAAAAATCGAATAACAAAAACACACCAGGACCCATATAAACCCAAAACCAAATAAATGCAACACAGAACTGCAATAGATTTCCGTGGCAATGTCTCAGCGTGTGAAAAACTCAGCGAGGGTTGTAGCTGCCGCTGTGGCGCCTGCGGGTGAGTAACGGTTTATTGAGACACGACATAACGAAAGCAGAGTTGGGAATTATAATATGAGTAACATTTGAATGGCTTGAAAGTATTTGAAAGTATTTGTTTAAAAATCTATAAAAAGTAACAAGAATGTTACTTGTTACTTTCTCACGGTGTTGCCAACCCCAAAGCGACAGACTGAGACTGAGACTGTTGCGTGGGCGTTTGAGTGTAACTGTAACACCTGCCACTGCCATTCCAGCACCAACACCACTATTAACACAACATTTCTTCTCTGCTCTCCAATTTTAATTTCAGTTTGAAGGAACGAAGCCGGAACACCTTTTCAACCCCGCCAGCCAGCCCATTGTTATTAGTGGTATACTATAGTATATGGATGGACTCCTACACGATCGCTTCACGCTCATTTAAGTGCCAACGCACCAGAGGACAGACGGACAGAGGGGCAGGAAAGACCGATCTAACAAAACATTTGCTCCGAGAGGCCTATTTGCATATTTTCTAAATGAATGCCACTCTTTCTCTTGTTGTTATTATTATATTTTGTAGGTACTAGTTTGCAAAGCGACCAAGAAGCGCATTCAGTTGCAACGGTGGCCTGTAGAAGTAGCAGCTGTCGGTGGCGGCTTTCCCCTGCACTGGATTTCCACTTCCTCCAATCGGCAATCAGGAACAGCACAGCTACAGCTACGACAAGAAGCCGTCAAACGCCGCAACTAATTGATATAATAGTTAAAATAACAAACTAACGAGAAAGAGCCTGGTTGGAAGGGGGAAACGACGGAGCAGCAACTGGTGGAGTCGCCGCGATGCTGGTGAAGTGCAAAACCTTTCCAATTTGAAAATAGTTTTCCTGCTATGTGTGCTCGTTCCCACAAGTAGCAGCAACAAAACAACTTGCAACCTGCAGCAAAAGTTCGCAGCATCGGCACTCAGAACCAAGCGGCTTCCAGCCAACAAAGCCTGCACTTGGGCTGCCGTGGAGCCGCCGCGGATGAGAAGGAGCTGCCACGAAGCGATTGGGAAAAAAGAGGGGGAGCCAAGATGACAATGCAGCGATTAAAGCAATTTAATTCTTTCCGTTCTTTTCAAAGCTACTTCTTAAGAAACTTTTAATTTAATTTGTAATTACATTTTTTAAATTAAAGTGAAATATCCATCAGAATTCTATAAAAATTGTTTTTTTTTTTTATTTAAAAGGGGGTTAAAGTATAGGGTTTCGATATCCTAATTGGTCTGCGGAGTAGTATGTATCTAAAAAGTAGAAATATTCTTTGAAGTTGTGGTTTATTCCCCTCAGAATAGATATTTTTAATGTTTAAACTTTAAACATTTTTCAACTACCTCTGTTAACTTTTACAGTGGCTTAGAGATGGTACTTTCAAAACAAGGCTTTACACCACTGTCGATATACAACGATTATCGATAACTTCACTAAGGTGAAATACTCTCTAGTGTGGTTACACTGTTTGTTGAAACGGCTATTCAAAAATGTTACATTACTTTGAGCTTATGCGAGTTTTATGCTAAACAAGCCTAATTTAAATGTAGTGCATTCTCAGAGTGATAATTAGCTACGCCCACTTATAAATATAAATGAGGCATTGCGTGGGCCCTCGATTAGAGTGCCTAAATCCACTCACAATGGCAACATTAATTAAATGCTAAGTGCGAGCTTCTTGTGCCCACGCCAGCTTGGCTTACAACTGCAACCGGCTTGTTTATTTTGGCCCCAAACGCTTTTCCTTTCGCGCCCACTGAGTGGGCCAAGTTAACGTAACCAGAAGGCGGCCACTATAAATTACCGGTGTGTGTGCAATAGCCAGTCGGCGGTGATTAACTTAAAGCCATATAATCTACATGCAGGCGAGTATATTTTATGCCCATTGTCAGGTTTTTGTTTTATTTTGCACACATTTCGCAGGTGGGAAATCAGCTAAGTCATGCCGTGGCCAAGTTTAAAAGTGTAACAGTTAAAAGACCCTAAAATTTTGACCATGAACTGCTTTGGGGATTCGATTTGGGGGCTTGTAGGGCCCCGACCTTCGCCTTTGGAGGGACTGGACTGATGTGGGAGTGTAATGTGGGTAAACGACCAGCACCACTGGTCAAGTGTCTTCGAAATTGTGCCACCAAGCGACCACCCACCAGCCACTTGCCACTATAATTGATTCATAATTATAGCATACACTGAAAGAAATCGAGCTCATAATTTATACCTTAATTACAAAAATATTGTATAATTTTTAGAAGAAACTATCATCCTTTTTTATAATATTTATAAAGTTTTAACCAGTTTCTGACTATTATTTTCTCTCTCTGTATTTGCACCAAATCTTCCCAGGTCTTCCGACTGGTCATTGTTATTATTGCTGCCTTATTCGCTGCTCTTACGGTTCGTTTTCGACTTCTGTTTGCTATTAACACGATTTTGAGCCATTTATACAGGTGTACTTGACGCCGCTGCTGTTGGCCATTGGTAGTAGTTTCGGCCAACTACCCAACAACCGCATTTCCCCAACCAAGCCAGCTTCAATTTTTGATCGCCGCTCGTGGCGAACGGATCGGCTTGGTGGTGTTTCGGTGTTTGGAGTAACTCCCAGTGCAAATTCAGTTCCTGGACATAATAAACAAACAAAAAACATGCTTCGGATAATTGTGCTAGTGGTGGCCATGCCGCTTCATTGCCAGACAACAGACGTTGCGGCAAATGTCACGGTGATCGACGACATTAGAAATGCCTTCAGAGGCATCACCAACAACTCCGAACTGGTTGATCACATAATTCCGGAAATGTACGCCGCCAGTATGCGGAGTGCGAATCCTTTGTTTGTCTTCAAAATGCCCACCCAGTCGGATGGTGGAGCTAAGTATGAGCTTCTAACAATGCAGCGATCCGACTTTGCAGAACCAATCTTTCCCAATGTCACCGAATCTGGACCAGTTGCTCCAGAGACGAGTGTCAAGACCAGCCTGGTGCCCACGCCACAGATCCAGTGGCAGCAACTCGGCTTGGACGGATGGGTGGGGGAGCTGAAGCCGCCGGCTCCTTGGCTGGAGGAGAGCCACAAGTTAGTATTCCTACTCCTTAAGCTCTTTAATTTTTACCCTCCAAGTCCACCCGTAGGGACACTTACTCCGGCATCAGCTGGCAGAACTCGTATCCCCGCGACGAGATACTCCTGGACCTTAAGAATCAGCACTTTGATGGCCGGGTCACGGATATTCGGGTCCTGACCAGTACGACGGGCAAGCCGGCGGAGATGGAGGACCTCAGAAATGGCCAGAACGTGTATATAGCCCGGGTGAACGACCCCTTTGGCTACTCCATGAAGTGGAGCTTCAGCAACGCCACCAAGAACGGAACAAAGCCTCAGGTGGAAGGCGATCGTGGCAAGAGGGATGTGGCCAGACTCTACTCGATGATCAAGTGCTCCACGGGCTGTGATCCGCTCATCTACAAGGGATACGGCTGCTATTGCGGATTCGGAGGACATGGGGTGCCCGCCGATGGCATTGACCGTTGCTGCCGCCTTCACGACAAGTGCTACGGTGAGAGCAACTGCATCTCGTACCTGGAGTACTTTGTGCCCTACATCTGGAAGTGCTATCGGGGGAAGCCGTTGTGCGCCGTGGACCATGGCGAGTTCGGAGGTCCCGACTCCTGCGCAGCACGACTCTGCCAGTGCGACCTGCGTCTCTCCAGATGCCTGAAGAAGTACTACTGCCCCCGCAGAAGATCCATATGCCACTCCTCCAGATCTCGCCGGCTACAAAATCTCATATTCTTCGATTGATGTTTATTTTTAAAGATAGTTTATGAATGAAGTGTTGAAGTTGAAGATGGAACTCAAAAATACTCCCTTTCTTCCGTAAGAACTGATCTTAAGACTAGTGATGCCGTTGGCTCTTCCGGGAGCCACTCCTTGCTTTGTTGCCACTTGGCTTCTCCCGCTCTGGCTTGCCGCTCCCGCTGTTCGCCGGCGTGGTGGCTACCGGGGCACTGGCTGATGGCGTCTCCTGCTGCTGCGAGAACTCCTTGATGGCCTGACAGTCCTGGACAAAAAGCCGGGCCGTCTTGTGCTGGTTAGTGTGCGGTTTGTAGGCCACCAGGACGTTCTGCGCCATCAACAGGACATCTCGGTGAAGCTCACTCAGGCTGCGAATGAATCCCGAGTCGATATTCCGCTTGATAGTGGGCAGGTCCATGGGGCGCAGGCACAAGTCCACATGCCGCTGGGCGTGCTCGTCGTGAAAGGGGCGCTTGAAGGGAGCCGCGTGCTTGCTTTCCTGCAGCGTCGAGTAAATGGATAGGAAGAGCTTCTTGGAAGCGGCGCGTGTTTCCCTTCGGTCATCCGTGTGTTCACTGGAGGCGGGGGAGTTGGGGATACTGTCAATAACCGGCGTGGATGAACACCTTCGCCGCGTGCTGGATCTGGCTGTGGAATGGTCACTCGCCGTTGTGGCATCATCGTCCACCATCGGACTTTCGGAGCGATCCCGATGGGGAAGTTTCCTCAGAAGCGGAGCACGAGCTGGCGCGAAAGGGGGTTGGGGTGTTCCGCCGTGCTCCGGCTCATGTTTGGAATCATCTTGAGCCTGCTTCGAGGCATGCGCCTTTGCCTTCGAAGATCTCGGCTGGTCGTCATGCTTGCTGCCGTCTGTTAGCGAGGAGGACTCCTCATCTGTGTCATGCAACGAAGCTGGCGCTGGTGCTGGGGCGGGAGTCGTAGGCGTGGCCGCTTTCTCCTCCACTTTTTGAGCTTTTTCTGGCTCCTCTTTGTTTGCTTTGCTTTCTGTTTCGCCGGAAGCGGGCTCCTCTTTGAGTTCCGCCTCTTTTGTAGATTCTATCGGTTCTGTGGTCTTCTCGGACACTGCTTCCTGCTCTGATGATTCTTCTTCTTTATTATCCTGCTTTGGAGTGGGCTCAGTTACAGGCTCTTCCTCCACTCTGGTCACGGGAGAACCGGCCGTATCTTCACTCGAAGTACTGATGAGAGTAATGGTCTCCCCGATCTCCTCCACCGCCACTTCACTTGCAAGGGTTTCAGCTTCAATGTCGACTGGGAGGGCCGACGTGGATTCTCCTCCAGACTGAGACCGATCTTTACCCTCCTGGGAGGCCACAGTGGCGAGTGGAATGTTATCATTAGAATCATCGCTAGACCCAACCACTACTTCCACAGACTTTGGCGCTTCACCGGCTGGAGGGTCTTTGCTTTCATCTCTTTTCAGAGCATCCAACTTGTCCTCAAAGTCGATGACGTCGCTTTTGTCGCCCGCTGGAGACACCACGACATTTTCCACTTCCTTCAGAATCTCCTCATCGATCACGCTGGCCATGTCAATGTCGATGTCGTCGATGATTTCGTCTATATTCGGGAAAACCTCCAACAGCTGCTCGTCGCTAGGATCGGCTTCATCAGAATCAGCGCCCGGTGTGGACGTGGAATTGGCTTCCTGCGGTTGAGACTGCTCTGAGCTACCTGTAGCTTCCGATTTACCTTCCCCAGCCTTGGCCGCTGCTTTATTCTTCTCGAGAAGCATTGACAGAGTGGGTGCCGCCTGCGATGGACTCTTTTCCAGGGTGGGTGTTGTTGGGGCAAGGGCTTCGCTGGCTGGCCCAGTAATGGGTCTGGACATAAAGGCCGCATCTGTGGGACTTTTCATTGTGATGAGAGGTTGATTAGGAACCGACGCCGAGCCGGCTCCGCTCGTCAATAATGAAGTGATGGTGGGAGCCGTTGTCCTGGCCACGCTTCCTGTTGGAGTAGTTGCTGCACCACCTGGTGCTCCATTGCCAGGTGTAGATGGAGCATTGCCCGTGGGAGACTTCAGCAGGGATGTGAGTAACGGTGAAGGACCTGACTGTTGCTTGGTCGTACTGCTGGCGATATCCTCAACGTCCATATCCACGGAGGTGGTGTCGGTTGGTTGCATCGACCGCCTGGCCGCCGGGCTGCTGTTCCGCCAGTTACCCACCAACTCCTTCTTGCGCTGCTCCCGCTCTCGCAGTCGGTTTTCCAGCTTCATCTCCTCAATGCGCTCTGCTTCCTGCTCCTTTTCGATCTCCATCCACATGTCCTGCAGTTCCTGCTCTGTGACAGCGTCAGATTGCAGAGAATCGATTTCGCGTTGAATACGCCTGTACGTTTCTTGATCCGTGCGCATTTGTGCCTTAATCTCCGCCATACGCTCCTCCGTCAAGCGTCGCAGCAACAACTCAGTGGGCGTCTCCACGGTGGCCGGTGAGGAGACACCGGCACTGCTTTCGCTGCTGCGTTTTTTCCGCTTAGTAGCCTCCACGCTTTCCAGCAGATGACCGTACTGTAGGGCACAGTTCTTTTGCGAATACCAATCCGCCGGTCGACTGTTGTTGTTGCCGTTTCCATTTCCATTGCCGCAAACCGACTTTAGCGTGCGGCTGACGGTAATCCAGTTCTGGTCGCCGCTACAGGAGACGGCCGATGCCAGGCAGAGCTGCTCCCGTTTGGACCACGTGTCCAGGGGTATGCGGCTCAGTTGCAAGCGCTCCTGTACACCCGCCGACATTGTAAATAGAAAATTACACTTTTTTTGTAATGCCGTGGGAACTAGCGATGGTCAGCTTGATTAGCGGTGGAATGTTTTCGATATTCAAGCGTCGATAGGAATTTCTTGAGTTTTTTCAAATTCTTTTTAAAAGTTTAATTTTAGAAAAAGGTCATTAAAGAGCAAGTTAACTATTAACTGGATTCTCTTTATTGTTGTAATTTTCTTTTATTTTTTAATCTAGACATTTACATACGATTTCTTATTACCGAGGTATATCGATAACTTTCTGTCGATATCATGTAGCCGCCAAACGATAGCAACAACAAAAACAGGTTTTCAGAACTCGCTGTCTGCTTCTATAAAGCTTAAAATAAATAGAAAACATTTTTGAAATGGAGCCCTTATCACAGCTGGTTAAATCCACTCTACCCAATTACTTGTCCAACTTGCCGATCCCCGACAGTTTCGGCGGTTGGTTCAAGCTGTCTTGTAAGTACAAAATGAGGATTCAGCGACGTGGGGTCCGTTGGAATTTGCCTCAAAAGGTCGCCCCACTTTCAGGAAAGCCCTTGAATGTGACACATCATCTTGGGGCTATAACTTGGAGTTATCGTCTTGTGTTTAGTGGCGTGATATAATTATGTGATTGGTTTTCAAAGTGCAATGATTGCACTTTTCCAGTGACACAAGTAAAAGTGGACCTGCAGCGATTATGCAACATTAGCTGAGCTCGCCCTCAAAAGTTTAAATTGATGAAGTTTATCACTCAAGTGATAAGTTAACGTAGATAAAGGAATAATGCGTAAACGCTCCAATGCACACAATGTACATACATCTGTATATAAATGAACGACCTTGTGCTTGTTACGCCTGGCTGCTGAAAAGATCTAGTTCTGTGCCTTAAAATATGCACCTATCTGATTAATTTCTCCTGCTTGCAGTCAAGGACTGGCTGGCCCTCATTCCACCCACTGTTGTGGTCGCTGGAATCGGCTACACCGGTTACCTGGCCTTCTGCCCGGCCGCCCAGGCCAGATGCTCGGCCGTTAAGAGCGGACGCTGCAACAACCAGATCCGGAAGCATGAGCCCAAGGTGGTGGATACGATCGATGTGGAGGATATCGCCGAGAAGGCCGCCTTCTGCCGCTGCTGGAAGAGCAAGAACGTGAGTATCAGAAATACCTTTCTAAATAACTGTAATAACCTCTTCCCCCCACAGTGGCCCTACTGCGATGGCAGCCATGGAGAGCACAACAAGTTGACCGGCGACAACGTCGGACCAGTGGTGGTGAAGAAGCAATAAACGTGGTCCCATCGGTGCATCTGGACACATCTAGCATTTCCTTGTTGAAAAATTCTCGCAGAGCTTCTAGTTGCTTTTAAAAACCAAGTTACATGGTTTACGTTTTTCGAAATACTTCTACCCTGTCAACCCTGTTTGTAATCGTAAGCATTAATTGATATTGATGGATTAAGTCTAAAGAAGCCAATAAAATTGCCTACAAGAAACTAAAATATATAATCCTAGAATAGTCCATGAAAGACGATCCTGTAATCCCTTTTATCACTCGAATTTCACCCTTAAAAGTGTTAGTAAACCCCAATTAATTAATAGAAAACTGTTTATTTTTTATAAATTATTTTCGGGCTGCAGGCGCCGCTGTTCCGTTGACAATATCGTAGGGCATCCTAACCACCACAATTCTCCAGTCAGAAGGCGAGAACAACACAATACGACGGATATTTTTTGTAGGACACTATCTTAGCTTGGTTGGAACTTAAGAAATAGGCATCGTGCATTTGAATCTCAAACTTTATTGTTGCTGCTGCTGTTTGTTATGATTGGTCTGTGAGCGGGAGGGAGTGAGGTGGTGTTTATTTGAAGATCTTGCCCTGGTTGAACTTGCGGCCGTCCTTGTCGGCGCCGGCCCAGGAGAAGTACTGGGTGACCAGCTTCTTGGTCTCCTCGCTCTTGGCATCCAGCTTCTTCCAGTCGTAGACCTCGTAGTCGATCTGCCAGTCGGGCGAGAGGGTGAAGGCGAGATCCTGTCCGCGCCACACCCACACTCCGGAGATGGTGCTGTTGCCGTCCTCGCCGAACAGGCACACGGAAGCGAAGGCCTGCTTGCGCATCTTATCCAGACGCTGGAACATGCCGGTAATCAGATTGCACGACATGAACACCTTGGACAGCTCGTCGTTGTACTTGTACTCTCCGAACCAGATGGAGTAGTTCTCGGCGTCGAACTTCTCAAAGAAGTAGGGAATCGACTTGGCCTCATCCTCGTTGGAGTAGACGCGCTTGAAGTCATCAAAGTTGAACGTGCCCTTGGGCAGGAGGTCGAAGGGATCCTTGGACTTGGGCTCCAGAGCCAGGGCCTCGTCGGCGGCGTCCAGCTCCTCGGCAGGCTCGGCGGCCTTCTTGGGAGCGGCTTCCTTCTTCTCCTTGGGCTTCTTCTCCTGCTTCTGCTGTTGCGGCTGCTGGGGCTTGGCGGCTCCAGTCTTGGCCTGGAACTCGGCGTACTTCTTGGGATCGAAGACCAGGGCCTTCTCGCACAGCTTGTAGTCCTTAACGACGGCCTGCACCTGGGGCTGGTTGAGGATGGTGACGAACCAACGGTTCAAGTTACCAAAGGCACTGCGTGCGCTGGGCTCCAGCACGTACTCGTACAGGTGGAGCAGGCTGCTGAACACAATGATGTCGGCGAGAGTGATGCGCTCACCGGCAAGGAAGGTAGAGTTGAGCAGCTTCTGGTTCAGCTGCTGCAGCACAGCCTCAGCGTCCTGCTTGGCAGTGTTGTTCTTCTGCTGAGGAAGGATGCCCAGCAGAGGGAACACCCAGGCGCACGAGGCAGGCACGATCTCGTTGTCGGCGAAGGAGATCCACTGCTGAACCTGAGCCTGGACGAAGGGGCACTTTCCTCCGCGCAGCTGCTCGTTGGCCAGGAGGTAGGCAATGGCGTTGGACTCGCTCAGGGTCTTTCCATCGTTGGTCTCGAAAGCCGGAACCTATAACCAAAGACATACGATTTATGGTTACAAATTCGTTGGCAGAAATGATGACGTTGCATGCCGGCAACGCCCTCTACGCACCTTGCCGCTGGGGAACTTCTTGAGGAACTCAGCCGACTTGTTCGTCTCGCCGAACTTGAAGTTATCGGCCACTTTCACCTGGGCACCGGAGTACTGGGCCGCGATGAGCGCCTTGTACGCGCGGAAGTTCTCGGGGTAAGTGTACAGCGTCTACAAGTACGGCAATAGCAAACAAAAGATAATTAGTATCGGGTTTTTCGATCTTATCGGCGTCTGCCGAGAAGAAATTCGCAAATTATCATGCCGTGATTGCGCTATAATTTGCGAATTATTAAAACCGTTTTTCATACGTACTCCTTGCACCATCGTGGATTTTCGCCGAAGAGAAAGAAGAAGACAACGTCAGGGAAGAAGAAGAAAAGTCTCATTCACCGAGTAGTTTTTTTGTCAGTGTTGCTCTTCGATAAAATACTAGAATATCTATTTTTTCAAATTGAAATAAATATTATTTGTATTCACAATCTTCCTTAATTATAAATTACTCTTAGTCCTTAAAATGTTAAAAAAAAAAACTCTCCAAATGCTTAAAATAAACGAAAAAGTATTTTTTTTTATTTTGCTGTCACAGACTACTTCCACCTGACTTTTCAGAGAAGTGCTTGAAATGAAGAAAAATAGAGCATAATTTCTTGGATAAATTGCTTAACTATAATTTTAAGAACTTCTACAGAGATAGCAATTGTAATTTCATATTCGCCATGTTGTCCGCCACGGGAATCGATAACACAACTACCGCAACCGATTACTTCGCTCTCTATGTACATCTCTATGTGCCCACTGCTTCGCGCATAATTTTACTAAAAACTACTAAATAAAATACAAAAAGCCCTTACAAATCGGGGATCAAATTGGATCGGATCCTTGATTTGCCCACTCGCGGCTATGCGCACTTGGACCGATAGATAGCAGCATCTGTGAATGGTTCTATAATAGCGTCGAAAGATCCGGATATCTAGGGAACCGCTGCCGTGAAAAAAAAGTGAAAAGTGGTGTTAACAAGAAGAAGAAGCACCTTTCGCAGCGAGTACGGTGCGTGCGCTTGTATTTGTGTGTGTGTGTGTGTTCAAGTATGCGTGTATGCGTATCTTACGTTGCAAACAAAAAATTTGCTTAAATTTTTGCATTTGGTGGCGGCGTTTCTTCCCGTTTGCAACTCAATCCGTGGCAGCATTGTAAAGCGCAGCATTGCCTACAAATGTTGTTCCCCAAATATGTGAGTGTTTCAACTGTGGCCGACGAGAAAACATAATTAATGAAGAAGGTTTACCGCAGCAAGCCGTGCATAAATTATAGCTATAATTATAACTGTTTACCTCGCAATTGTTGTTGCCCTCCAACACAAATACATCCATATATCTGTATATGTATGTATTTTTTTTTTTTTGGGGCTTTCTATTTGCCTTGAGCTTTGACCACTTATGTACAGATTTCAGGGGTCCGTGCTCCGAGTTCCATGTGACCTTCATATTTGGAAGCAACAAAATCAATAGTAATATAGTTTTACCTTCGCGATGCATTCGAATCGGCTCCCATCCCGCTGCCTGCCCTGCTGCTCCTCCAGTATTTACATAATTATTGTCAGGTTCAGGGGGTTCAAGAGTATCTATTCAATTAGTAATTGATTGGCAGCGGCAGTGTGTGCGGCGGGGATTATGACATTAGTTGATGGGAGACTGCATGTGATCGGAGAAGGAGCGAGGGCCATCGAAAAAAGGGAACAAGCTAGGACCAAGTCGAATTCTTAATACCCTACAAAGGGTTATTGCTTATGGAGGACATAGAATGGTAGCCAATGGTACTAGCTTGAAAAAGTTATAAAATATATTAAATAATAAATTTAATACAAATATTTTTTAAAAACTAGAATACCCTTCCGATGTGGCAGTAGAACAGCTGACCAACGACAGGTCGCCTTTGAAAGCTTTGTGGTCAAGCTTTGAAAGTTATTAGTACCAGTGGGCAGGCAGATGGGGAGAGATAATAATTGTGTTTTTAGGGACGATACATTATTCAATATGAATCACCACCGGCCTGGCCCCCACTTGTGGAGATTATCAAAGAGCTCCTTATCGCTGGCCACTGGCTTATCAATCGATTCGCGATGACAAACCGGCCAAACGTGCTCTTGGAAACCTGTTGTGATTGCGGTAGTGGCCTAGAATCATTTCAATCGCATGCTTACACTTCTCCGTTCTCCGTTCTTTAGTACTAACAGCCGTAATATGTCTGATTCTTGCAGGATAATGAAAGATGCACGAATATGACGTAACTAAGCGCAAAGAGGAACAAGCCAGTCTTCCACCCAACGAGCACGAATCTAGCAACACTATCCTCAAAAACAAAAACAGCCGCAAGAGCCTTCAGGACCAGGTCACAAAGCACCAGGATAAATCGCCAACGGGGATCACAGAAGATCGGATTGGCACAGCGAGTGAAGTCGGTAATCTCTCGCCCAGGTTCCGGACTATATATCCGTTTGTCATTGAGCTCATTGACCAGGCGGTAGCTCCCCAAGCCTCCCCTCAAGTCATCACAGAGAAAGTACCGAAAGCATTGCCCATAAGAAAGCGGCAACGTCGTATCTACGCCGCCGACCCAACGCGCTGCTCGAGTCTCAGGTCGCGCCAGGAGCCAGCTGCCGCAGACGGGCAGGAAGGTACCACTTCCAAGCAGCCACCCACTCCGCCACCAGCTGCACCAGCGCAGGCCGCTTCGCCCACACCAACCGAGCCCACTGAGTACATTAACCCAGGTGAGAGCTGCTGTCACTTATGCGCGGCTATCAGATTATATAACAACACCTACATGATAGCTTTACGACCATCACAAGCAAGATTAAAATAATCTGTGTCTTGATAATGCTCCGTTCCCAAAAACAGTTTCTTTTTTAATAAATACTTTCTTTCTTTCTTTCTTTCTTTCAGATCATTTCAAGCCAGAGTTTTGGAATTGCATCGAGGAGGAGCAGGAACAGAAGCCAACTGGAAAGAAGCGACGCGGTCCAACTGGGCGCGCCAGGACACGCCGCAATAAGCTTTTAAGCGAGCTAGAGACCTATTCGCCAGAAACGGCGGCTGCCATTGCCGCTGCCCAGCTCGAGCTCGACGCCACACCGAAACCGGGAGGACCGCGGACCAGTCGCAAGAGGGGTCACACCATGTCGCTGTACGATCGCCGGCATCAGACCACCGCGGACGAGCGGCGCGTGGCAAACGGTTATGGGGGCAATGGCCTGCGCGCAGGCACCGGCTCCACATCCAGCGACATTGAGTCGCAGGAACTACAGGGCCACCAGTATTATGGATCCGCCGGTGGCAGCAACCCCACAGGATCGGGATCGGGCTTGAATGGCAGTGCGGGAACTGTGAATCATGCTCCATCAATGGGCACGCTTTGCAACATCGGCAACTCTTGCTACTTGAACTCGGTGGTGTACACCTTGCGATTCGCCCCCCACTTTCTGCACAACCTGCACCACTTGATCCACGATCTTGGCGTGGTGCAGCAGACGATTATGCGACAGCAGAGGGCCAAGTCAGCGTCGCTGGGCCGGAACGTGAGCTCGGCGCAGTTGGAGCATGCGCGAAGTTGGAGCAGCAAGGACTTGGCCTCAAGTGCGGATCAATATAGCGGCCTGAATGGCGGAGTCAATGCTGGGAGTGGAGGCAGTGCTTCAAGCAAATCCACTCATCAGTCGGTGTCGGAGAAACTGCACGAGCTATACAACAGCCTTCACGGAAACGAGATGGCCGACTCCACGGAGCCGTATCATGCGGACACGCTGCTGCATGCCATCCAGGATGTGAACGCCACCTTTGAGGGTAACCAGCAGCAGGATGCACACGAGTTCCTGATGTGCGTCCTGAATTGTATTCGGGAAACGAACCAGTCACTGATCAAGGCTATTGGCGAATGTCCTGAGGTCATTGCCAATGGGTAAGGGTTCTCGAAAAACAAGGCAGAATTAGTATACTAAAGAATCCTCTCCCTCCACAGCTATGTCGCAAACCCGGACGAGGTAGACACCGGTGAGCCTCAGGAGCGAGCTGATTCCGTTGCGTCGCAGGGCGTGAGCTCTGGCAACGGATCGCTGTTATCTAGTCAAACCACAACGACGAAACCGTCATTCTTTTCGCGCAAATCCAAGAGAAAAGACGAAGTCAAGTCGTCCAAGTCAACGCGCGTTCAGTCGCCCCTCAAGGACAACAGTCCCACGGCGGGCACAGCCCACGCCACCGCCAACAGCTTGTTCTACCTAAACACGGTTGATCTCAGTGGCGCCAACAGCAGTGGCGGCAGCGTAGTGGTTCCCACGCCGACTGTTGCCCTACCGGCTGTGCCGGCGCCCCCAGCAGCTAAATACTCCAGCGACGACGAAATGAACTCGGCCACTGTTCTGAAGGACAAGATGCGACTGGAGGAGAGAATAAGGGAGCTGAACCTCAACTTTTTCAACTCGGACTTCGAGGGCCTCATGGTGCTGACCACCAAGTGCCTAAGTTGTGAGACGGTGACGCGACAAAAGCAGGGAATGATCGACATCTCGGTGCCGGTGCCCATTTCCGGATACGAAAACACCGATCTGCAGGATAAGCCCAGCAACTACATTCAGGTTGGGGTCCATCTTTAAAGATTAAGTTGGTTTTAAAGCTAATGAGGGGTTCTACTTTTCCAGAACTCGTGCATCACGAAGGAGTACTTCCGCGGGGAGAACAAGTATAGCTGTAATCAGTGCACCGGGTACACTGAGGCCATTCGGTCCATCTCGTACGAGGTGCTGCCGAGGCTGCTGGTCATCCAGCTGAACCGCTTCTCCGGTGGAATGGAGAAAGTGAGTACGTACGTGCCCACCAGCTTTACTCTGCCCTGCTTCTGCATCAAATGCTGCGACCTCAGCGAGAGCAATAAGCTGCACGTCTACAAGCTGTACAGCGTAATCACCCATGTCGGGGCCACGCTCACGGTGGGCCATTACATCGCCTACACGTGCTTCCTGGACTTGGCCAGCGACTATGTGAACTGCCCAAAGGACCGACGGAACACGATGACTGGATCGCAAACGATGGCCTCGCAGTCTTCGGCTTCCAATGAGAACGCGGCTCCGAATAACGGAAGCAGCAGCGTGGCCAGTACTCCGGTCTCGGCGGCCGCCTCGGCCTTGGCCTCTTCCGGAACGAGTCTGATGAAGAAGATGAAGTTCGGCCGCAGCAAGGCCTCCAGTAGCGGCGATATGAGCAAGAACGTGAAGCAGCTGAACGGGATCAGCAGTAAAACGATCACAAACGGGATCGGGAAGCTCAGCATGAACACCACCTGCCACGGAGTCAACTGCTGTGCCATGCGGCTCTGTTGCAATCAGCAGACGAGCAACAGCAACTCGGCCAGCTGCAGTGACTTCAGCGAGGAGTCCCTGCAGAACGGCAGCAACAGCAATCTCAGCTACGGCAGCTCGGGAACCACCTACCCGACGGGCTATGGAAGCACAGGCCGTGGCGGCGTCAAGGTCAACTATGCTCACGGGGGCACGGACCCCATTTGGTATATGTGCGATGATGACAAGATCAAAGCCATGACCCAGCGAGAGTTCGAGGAGTTGCTGTCGCCCACCCGGAAGATAACCATAACTCCTTACTTGCTGTTCTACGCACGATTCGATCTGCAGCCGGCACAGACCGCTGCCTCGTCAAAGCCGGGAACATCGTCGACGCCGCCGCCATCGAGTGGATCGCAGGGCTCCTGGTCGAACGATAACTTGCCCAGTGGCTCGCACAAGATATGAGGTTCCCAGTGCAAGAACCGGCGTGGCGTGTAGGGTAGGGTAGGGGTTCAACCACGGAAAGTACATATTTATTGGATAGGAGATGTCTCTAGCCTAGAATAATAAGCAAAAGAAGAAGTCTGTTTGTTAAACAATGTAATCGTACTAAGCTCTATCGTTTACCTACATGCATAACTATTCATTAACTAATCAGCGGTTTAACTGAGGCCTAGACTCCATGCCCCCTATCAGTTCAGTTCCACGTTTATCGATTGTTTGTCTGTTTAATTGATGCATTTGATTTTGGCATTCAGTTGTTGTATAACTACTAAATATTGTTAATAATTAAGCTTAACCAACGCGTCAACTCGTAAACACGAATTTAAAACGTTACAAACGCTAAACGCTGATAAACGGCCTATAATTGTTTTCCCATGAATTATGATTATGATCAGACACACACACTTTTATTATTATACTCAGATACAAATTAAAAAGGCGAAAGCAATAAAATTAACAAATCTTTAATTTAGTGCCCTAGAGCATGGCAGAGCAGGCGAATGTTGTAATAATATTAATTATTATTGATAGTATTGAGTAATCTCTAATATTCTCATAGAACAAGCGGTCATCCCCAGTTGGCAGGATATAGAATCTGTAATAATTACAGTGTCGGTGGGGTAACTGGAACAGACATTCAGACAAACACATATTTAATTGGATTAACACGATGTGTCCATAAAATATAAAATAATATATACAAAGTGTTGAATAGTTGATAACTCATGACACATCTAACATGCGAATGAAAGTATATCGGATATTGGATATTGGATAGTGGATAGTGGATTGGAAGAAGATCAAGCGAACAACTGAGAATTGTTATGTAATTGATTGGATAGTTTATGAAAACGTTTTCTTCATACATACAGGACTTCAGGACTTCAGGATTCACCGACTCCATCAATTCAGAAACATACATAGGCACCCACAACCACAATCGATTGTAACGTAATTAATATTAATAAACAATAACTGTAATATTGTAATAGCACACTAATTCTGCAATATTTTTAGAGATTTAGTTCTAGTTTCTCCATTGCATTACGTCTACGTTACGTTACTCTAGTTTTATTTCAATTGTTTTTAAACTTCATTTCGAGAGCGCTGCTATAGTGATATTAATATTTACAAAGCAAAGATTTGTGTAAAATTCTAATTGTAAAGTTTATAATTAACATTTAAAGGTAACAATAACAGTTGAACTAACAATCTGCAGATACAGATACAAGATACAAGATACAAGATGCGATCTATACACAAATTCAATTACGGCAATGGTTTAGCCGACCGAGGACCGTTCCGTTTGATTCCAATTCTATTTATGTTTATTATTGATTAGCATTATAGAACATGCTTAACTAAATATACGAAATATACAACATACATATATTCACATATGTCTAAATCTTAAAACTCTGTTCGAGATTCTTTATTGCATTGTATTATATATGGAGTTTTGAAATCGCAAGGGTCGGGATGGGTTTCTTTTGGTGGATTTTCCAAGGAAGTCAGGCAGGAGCCTTTTCCATGGACTGCAGGAAGGGTTGCAGATCCTCCGGGTCTAGTGGTGCTGGTTCATTGTGGCCGATTTCTGGAGCTCTTCCAGGTATTAGGGGTAGGGATTACGGAAGTGGCTGCTCAAAGAAAAAATCATTAAAAAAGGGACTGGCATTGCATTATCGAATCCTTGAAACTTTTATTAAAGAAGAGGCCCGATTAAAGTATACAGACTGTATATTGGATTCACTACCATAATCGTAAACGATCGTAGTCCTGGCTGCGACAAAAACTCCATCGCGGAGAATAACTCTACCCAGGATAGTGTCCTCCATGGCGTATACGTATTTATCTCAAACCCCACCAACAAAATCCAAAACCTCCAAAAGCTATGAAAACTCATAACACGAATTATAGAAAATAGAACAAGGTGTAATATATTTGTTACGCAATGATATATACAGTTGGCTCTATTTAATTTTGCTGTGTAGATGGTTCTTGGTAAACATAATGAGACTTATTGCAATGCTTTGCACGATTTGGATCCATCGCGTGTATGTATATAGGTATTGCAAAACTTTGAAAGGAAACTGGTCTTATTTTAAAACTTTGCCTTAATTACCGGTTGATTCAACTAATAAGAATATTCAATTTAATAACTTAATAGAAAATTATACATCATTTATTTTAATAGCTAATTAAATATTGTTATATTTAGGAAACGCAATTGATACATAATTACAAAATTATATGTAAATATGTACATTCAGTTTGTTGTTCTTCATATTATATTCTAAAGTTAAATATCATTCTTGTCGTGTCGGATAGATTTTGGTGTCTAATGTGCGTGTTTATGTTTCATAAATATCATGTAATGTGCATTGTGAGTTGGTAGCCAGGCTCCAGTTTTCAATTTTCACTAAATAATATATATAATTTTAAAACAATTTTGTTCGCATATATCTTGCGACTGGGTGAGTGAAAAAAACACGACTCGAATAATCAAATTAAAAGCAAAAAAGCCTAATAAAAATATAACAAGATTTGATATACAATTTTGTTCAAATATCGAATTTAAATTGATTGAATAAATAATAAAATAGATTGTAGAACTCTGAAAACTGGAGCTTGGCTCTCTAAGATTGCATTTTCCATTGATTTATATTGGAAAGTATAGTTTTTATGGTTGACATTATGGTTTTGCGCGTTGTTTCATATTATCGAAATAATAAAATGAGGAATTTATGTTTTTATCTCGAAATGGCCAACACATTACTCGTCTATGAACAGCTTTTACGTTTGCTTTTCGCTTTAGTTTATGGGGAGGTACTAATTTGTTAACAATTTCTATGTATGACAAGTCCAACTCGATCGGAGTCGATTGCTTGCAAGTTAGTGTTCAATTATAGTGCCATATTGTTTCGACGTCCGTTCACCTTATTAACTAAATTGCAGATTTTTAAGGCAGGTCCTAGCTTCAGGCCCATGTACTTCATCATCATTTCTGAATTTAGCAATAGTAAAGCTTTACCATCGATTTCCTGCAAACAATTATACAAAATTAATTAAATATTTCAAATAAATTAAAATTTATTGTTACTTACATGCTTCCGAAACAGATCGCCATGAATTGCGAGGGAGTTATCGTTGCTCTCGATGTACTGGATAACCTCCTCGATGGTCCAATCGATTGGCTGCGCCCGCAGATGCGAGGCAGCCGATGCGGATGTGGGTGTGCTTACGGGTGAGGTAATCGCTGTATAGTTTGTGGATGCCGCTGCAGCGGCTGCTGGTCCCGTCGGCGCGGTGGCAGCCTTGGCCGCCGTTACTCCGCCTGCAGCCAGTGCAGTGGACGAGGCTGACTGGCAGCCAGTGAAAGGCGTGGACACGGATGTGGGCAACGAGGCGCTGGACGATAACGTTGTCGGGCTCTTGTAATAGCTATTCGAGGACTTGACATTCACCTGCTCAGGATGTACTTCGGCTACCAGTGGAGCCAGGTACTTCCCAATCGAGGAAGTGTTCGCTGTTCCTCCCGCCAAACTGGTACTGGAAGATGTCGTGGAGCTACTACAGTGACTGCTGGTTGCAGCTGTTCCTTGGCTCGCATCCGAATTTCCATTCGAAACGATACCACTCCCTTTTCCGTGGTGCTGGAAGCGCACTTTTCGCAGTGCCTGGGCTGTGGATGGCGCTTGCGAGCCTACTCCATTGGGTTCGGTCTTTACGACCACCTTGGTAGACTTGCTCCCACTACTGTTGTTCTGGTGGTTGGACGCCTCCTTGCCACTGTTGGGCGATGATTTTGGTTTAGCCTCCACAGGTGACTTGACGCCCGCCTCCTGTTTGATGACAATCTTTTCAGCGGGAGGGCTCGTTGCCGAGTTGGAGTGACGGTTCCGCTTGTCGGCGAGCACTGGCGATGTGGGAGGCGTGGCTGACTGGGTCAACGGACGCTTCCTGCTACCAGCGCACTTCTTGCACTCCTCCGTCTCGTGCACCAGGGAGATGAGATTCGCACATGCCTGGCATGTGGTGCACAACGTCTCTATGAACTGGGCCAGGCTCTCGTCGTCTTTCATGCGTAATGGCGATGGAATTTTAACCTGAAATGCATTCAATTATTAAATATTTTCATGACTCCTACAAAGATGACCTCTACTCACGGTAAAATTTTTTCCAGCTGCCGTTACAATGTGAACATCACCTTCCAGCGCAAAGAGAAGCTTGGACAGTTGCTGTGTATCCGTGCTGGCAGCTAGAACCTCCTGGAGACATAGCTTGGCCAGCGTTTGGTACGTCGGACCCGTAACCATGCACGGCAGCTTGGAATTGTTGATAAACGGGCCGCCCTTACAATTGGGATGGAAATGGGCGGTGGCCGGCGAGGCGGGAACCATGGCCTCCGATTCGGGTACCACAGTGTAGCGTGGGCGCGGACGCTGCTTACTGTTGTTAGAGTCCATGCGCGACTTATGGCCCGGCGGTTGCATTGGGTGACAGCTGCGTGCGCACCAACCCACTGGGAATATGTCCCTCGATCGGTAGTTGCACCAGTAATCGAACGCTCCCCGCCAACCGTCGAAGGTGACGTGAATCTGGTCGTCCTTGATAGCATCCACTGTGGCGCAGCAGATCAACTGCGGGTTCTTTTTGTCAACAGCCTCCAGTTTCTGGCCCACCTTGAAAAGGTTCTCCTCCGGCGATAGTGGCTCGGGCTGAAATATTTCTTCGGGAGCGACCATAGCGTTGTTCAGGATTTTACACAGGTACCCGGGCCAACTGGAGGCGTTCATGCGGAATCCTAGTGGTGGTTGCAGCATACCGCCATTTTTTTCGCAGTGGCCAATAGCATGGATCTCTGTGGAGTCCACCAACCGCCAGAAATCGTTCTGCGAGTCGCTGCCATCCAGGCGTAAGCGTAATCTGGATCCAAGGACTCCCACCACTGTTGCAATGCATGTGGAGGTGACGTTTCGTGGATCCAAGGCCTCTAATTTCATGCCAATCTTAAAGTCGTTATTTGGAGGGTTTTGAGCCTGTTTAAAACACTCAGCAGGTGCTGCGTCGCTACCCGTTTCCTAAAATAAAATATTCAAAAGTTAAGCCATGTGTCATACGGACTTAAATGCATTACTCACCTCCAGGTAGGCGTCCCAGTCGAATACGTGAAAGCTCTCGTACTGAAAAGGGCCCGTCGGCGCTGGCGCTCCACTGGCCAGCAACTTGCGATCGCTCTCCAGCAGGCCTTTGCTGTTCGCGGAGCCGCCGCTCTGTCTTGTGGAGCAGTTCTTTTTCTGGTGCTTATTCATGCACATAATGGAGCAGAACTCCTTGTTGGGTGCTCCGTCGCGGATGACGTTATCGCACTGTGTACAAGCTCCTTTACTGTACGCCTTGCGAAACTCGGCAATGCACGTCTCCGAGCAGAATTCCTTTTTGCCCGTCTGGGTGGGCAGGACGTATTGCAGCGGCAGCTTGCCCTCGCCACACCAAGTACATGTTGCCCGTTTGGGGGGACGACCGCGCTGACGCTGATTGGATGCTGGCGATGTGGACGAGGAGTTAGCATTTGAATTGGAGGCGTTGCTACCATTGCCACTGGGGTTGGAATTGGTGCTGTTGCTGTCGCGGCCCCCTGACATGGTTTTCCCTGCTTGGATGTTTTAGTTTGCTGCGCGTTTGCTTGTTTCCTCTGCCGGCAAGTCCGTTGGCATCTCAGCCAGAAATACTTTTCCGAAATAGTCTCGTTTTAGCGCTCAAAGTATATTCGTATACTGCAAATCGCATTTCGGCCTGCGGGCACTTCTTTCCGTTCACTTTCAGAAATTTATTTTTCCACTATCCGCATGCCACAACAATCATGGGGGTGTTTTTCCCTCGATCTGAGCTACCAAATTTTTGCGGCGTTCTTGAGGTCACGTAATAACAATTGGTGGCAAAATAGCATAGGAGCATTTACCACTTACTCGCACCGTTTACGATTGCCTCGAAGACAATAACAGCTTAGTTTTCTATAAAAACTCTTTCCCAATCTTGAAATCTTCTTAAAAAATTCAATTGCGTGGTTTAATTCGGTTTAATAGCAAAATTTTACAATTATCTCTTCTTCTTTTTTTATGGCTCCGCCATATTTGTTTTTCTAGTGATGACCTATCGCATAAGCCGATTTCTAGTCACTAGGCGTAATAATACTTGTTCCCAGTCACGGACTATCGAAAATGTGTTATCGATTAATAGGGCGCGGAAGGCATTTACGTGCCCCTTTTTTGAGATCTAGGATATAGTTTTTTGATCCTAAAAAAATCTGTGACACGGCCGTTTCCATAAATTTTTTGTTAATAAAATAATAAAAAAAAATATTTTTTTTTAGTTTTTTGTTATATTTGTTACATTTGTTACAGCCAAATATCTTAACTTCATATCTTTCCTAACAATCATCCAATTCTTAAAAGGAATACCTTAAACGATTTATGGATAGATTCTCCACAAATCTACATCAAAATTCTGGAACAAAATATATTTTAGATTTTTTGTCAATTTTTCTGGGTAGACCCCTTCGAAAATGGGGGAAATGCATGGGAGGACAATATGGCCCACGCCGAAAGCCATATCTTTGGCAATAGTCGTCCGATTCTTGAGCGGAATACATTGAACGATTTGTGGATAGATTCTCCACAAATCTGCATCAAAATCCAGGAACAAAATATTTTTTAGATTTTTTGTCGATTTTTCTGGGAGACCCCTTCGAAAATGGGGTAAATGCATGGGACGACCATTAGGCCCACGCCGAAAGCCATATGTTTGGCAATAGTCGTCCGATTGTTGAGCAGAATACCTTAAATGATTTGTGGACAGATTCTCCACAAATCTGCATCAAAATCGTGAAACAAAATATTTTTTACATTTTTTGTCAATCTTCCTGGGAGACCCCTTCGAAAATGGGGGAAATGCATGGGACGACCATTAGGGCCACGCCGAAAGCCATATCTTTGGCAACAGTCGTCCGATTGTTGAGCGGAATACCTTAAACGATTTGTGGACAGATTCTCCACAAATCTGCATCAAAATCGTGAAACAAAATATTTTTTAGATTTTTTGTCGATTTTTCTGGGAGACCCCTTCGAAAATGGGGGAAATGCATGGGACGACCATTAGGCCCACGCCGAAAGCCATATCTTTGGCAATAGTCGTCCGATTGTTGAGCGGAATACCTTAAATGATTTGTGGACAGATTCTCCACAAATCTGCATCAAAATCGTGAAACAAAATATTTTTTAGATTTTTTGTCAATCTTCTGACCCCTTCGAAAATGGGGAAAATGCATGGGACGACCATTAGGCCCACGCCGAAAGCCATATCTTTGGCAACAGTCGTCCGATTGTTGAGCGGAATACCTTAAACGATTTGTGGATAGATTCTCCACAAATCTGCATCAAAATCCTGGATCAAAATATTGTTTAGATTTTTTGTCAATTTTCCTGGGTAGACCCCTTCGAAAATGGGGAAAATGCATGGGAGGACAATATGGCCCACGCCGAAAGCCATATCTTTGGCAATAATCTTCCGATTCTTGGGCGGAATACCTTAAACGATTTGTGGTTAGATTCTCCACAAATCTGCATCAAAATCCTGGAACAAAATATTTTTTTGATTTTTTGTCAATTTTCCTGGGTAGACCCCTTCGAAAATGGGGGAAATGCATGGGACGACCAATAGGCCCACGCCGAAAGCCATATCTTTGGCAATAGTCGTCCGATTGTTGAGCGGAATACCTTAAACGATTTGTGGATAGATTCTCCACAAATCTGCTTCAAAATCCTGGAACAAAATATTTTTTAGATTTTTTGTCAATTTTCCTGGGTAGACCCCTTCGAAAATGGGGGAAATGCATGGGACGACAATATAGCCCACGCCGAACGCTATATCTTTGGCAATAGTCTTCCGATTCTTGGACGGAATACCTTAAACGATTTGTGGATAGATTCTCCACAAATCTGCATCAAAATCCTGGAACAAAATATTCTTTAGATTTTTTGCCAATTTTTCGGGGTAGACCCCTTCGAAAATGGGGAAAATGCATGGGAGGACAATATGGCCCACGCCGAAAGCCATATCTTTGGCAATAGTCGTCCGATTGTTGAGCGGAATACCTTAAACGATTTGTGGATAGATTCTCCGCAAATCTGCATCAAAATCCTGGAACAAAATATTTTTTTGATTTTTTGTTAATTTTACTGGGTAGACCTCTTTGAAAATTGGGAAAATGCATGGGAGGACAATATGGCCCACGCCGAAAGCCATATCTTTGGCAATAATCTTCCGATTCTTGGGCGGAATACCTTAAACGATTTGTGGATAGATTCTCCACAAATCTGCATCAAAATCCTGGAACAAAATATTTTTTAGATTTTTTGTCAATTTTCCTGGGTAGACCCCTTCGAAAATGGGGGAAATGCATGGGAGGACAATATGGCCCACGCCGAAAGCCATATCTTAGGCAATAATCTTCCGATTCTTGGGCGGAATACCTTAAACAATTTGTGGATAGATTCTCCAAAAATCTGCATCAAAATCCTGGATCAAAATATTGTTTAGATTTTTTGTCAATTTTCCTGGGTAGACCCCTTCGAAAATGGGGAAAATGCATGGGAGGACAATATGGCCCACGCCGAAAGCCATATCTTTGGCAATAATCTTCCGATTCTTGGGCGGAATACCTTAAACGATTTGTGGATAGATTCTCCACAAATCTGCATCAAAATCCTGGAACAAAATATTTTTTAGATTTTTTGTCAATTTTCCTAGGAGACCCCTTTGAAAATTGGGGAAATGCATGGGAGGACCATTTGGCCCACGCCGAACGCTATATCTTTGGCAATAGTCGTCCGATTCTTGAGCGGAATACCTTAAACGATTTGTGGATAGATTCCTCGCAAATCTGCATCAAAATCCTGGAACAAAATATTTTTTAGAATTTTTGTCAATTTTCCAGGGTAGACCCCTTCGAAAATGGGGGAAATGCATGGGAGGACAATATGGCCCACGCCGAAAGCCATATCTTTGGCAATCGTCTTCCGATTCTTGGGCGGAATACCTTAAACGATTTGTGGATAGATTCTCCACTAATCTGCATCAAAATCCTGGAATAAAATATTTTTTGATTTTTTGTCAATTTTCCTGGGTAGACAGACCCCTTCGAAAATGGGGGAAATGCATGGGAGGACAAATGGCCCACGCCGAAAGCCATATCTTTGGCAATAATCTTCCGATTCTTGGGCGGAATACCTTAAACGATTTGTGGATAGATTCTCCACAAATCTGCATCAAAATCCTGGAACAAAATATTTTTTAGATTTTTTGTCAACTTTCCTGGGTAGACCCCTTCGAAAATGGGGGAAATGCATGGGAGGACAATATGGCCCACGCCGAAAGCCATATCTTAGGCAATAATCTTCCGATTCTTGGGCGGAATACCTTAAACAATTTGTGGATAGATTCTCCAAAAATCTGCATCAAAATCCTGGATCAAAATATTGTTTAGATTTTTTGTCAATTTTCCTGGGTAGACCCCTTCGAAAATGGGGAAAATGCATGGGAGGACAATATGGCCCACGCCGAAAGCCATATCTTTGGCAATAATCTTCCGATTCTTGGGCGGAATACCTTAAACGATTTGTGGATAGATTCTCCACAAATCTGCATCAAAATCCTGGAACAAAATATTTTTTAGATTTTTGTCAATTTTCCTAGGAGACCCCTTTGAAAATTGGGGAAATGCATGGGAGGACCATTTGGCCCACGCCGAACGCTATATCTTTGGCAATAGTCGTCCGATTCTTGAGCGGAATACCTTAAACGATTTGTGGATAGATTCCTCGCAAATCTGCATCAAAATCCTGGAACAAAATATTTTTTAGAATTTTTGTCAATTTTCCAGGGTAGACCCCTTCGAAAATGGGGGAAATGCATGGGAGGACAATATGGCCCACGCCGAAAGCCATATCTTTGGCAATAGTCTTCCGATTCTTGGGCGGAATACCTTAAACGATTTGTGGATAGATTCTCCACTAATCTGCATCAAAATCCTGGAATAAAATATTTTTTGATTTTTTGTCAATTTTCCTGGGTAGACAGACCCCTTCGAAAATGGGGGAAATGCATGGGAGGACAAATGGCCCACGCCGAAAGCCATATCTTTGGCAATAATCTTCCGATTCTTGGGCGGAATACCTTAAACGATTTGTGGATAGATTCTCCACAAATCTGCATCAAAATCCTGGAACAAAATATTTTTTAGATTTTTTGTCAATTTTCCTGGGTAGACCCCTTCGAAAATGGGGGAAATGCATGGGAGGACAATATGGCCCACGCCGAAAGCCATATCTTAGGCAATAATCTTCCGATTCTTGGGCGGAATACCTTAAACAATTTGTGGATAGATTCTCCAAAAATCTGCATCAAAATCCTGGATCAAAATATTGTTTAGATTTTTTGTCAATTTTCCTGGGTAGACCCCTTCGAAAATGGGGAAAATGCATGGGAGGACAATATGGCCCACGCCGAAAGCCATATCTTTGGCAATAATCTTCCGATTCTTGGGCGGAATACCTTAAACGATTTGTGGATAGATTCTCCACAAATCTGCATCAAAATCCTGGAACAAAATATTTTTTAGATTTTTTGTCAATTTTCCTAGGAGACCCCTTTGAAAATTGGGGAAATGCATGGGAGGACCATTTGGCCCACGCCGAACGCTATATCTTTGGCAATAGTCGTCCGATTCTTGAGCGGAATACCTTAAACGATTTGTGGATAGATTCCTCGCAAATCTGCATCAAAATCCTGGAACAAAATATTTTTTAGAATTTTTGTCAATTTTCCAGGGTAGACCCCTTCGAAAATGGGGGAAATGCATGGGAGGACAATATGGCCCACGCCGAAAGCCATATCTTTGGCAATAGTCTTCCGATTCTTGGGCGGAATACCTTAAACGATTTGTGGATAGATTCTCCACTAATCTGCATCAAAATCCTGGAATAAAATATTTTTTGATTTTTTGTCAATTTTCCTGGGTAGACAGACCCCTTCGAAAATGGGGGAAATGCATGGGAGGACAAATGGCCCACGCCGAAAGCCAT